TGAAGAATACATACTGGGAGGGGAAAAAAAAAACACCAAGAAGCAAGCTGTCCCCTCTAATTCAAAGCTGATTGCACAGTGATAATGTACAGATAACTGCCTTGGCCTACGACACATTTGAACCCTCAACATTAAATCCTGCTTTACTGAGAGAAGAGTCAGTGACCCTTAACTGCTACCTGGAGACTCTCTCATCAATGGTTTTGGTTTAAAGTATTTATTTATTATTAAAATTGTGGTTCTTGCCAAACAACAATCTTTTTAGGGTACAATCTTCAGACCACTCCTCTGGAACATACTGTCATCACATACTGCACCTGCAAGGGGTTAATCACCAAATGGAAGGGTAGTTCAAGCAGAGATCAGAAAGCCATGATTGCTGGGCTTCTATCCCAGACTTTGCTACCAATTTTCTCAATGGCTTTCAGTAAACGCAACCTCACTGTGAAGGCTTATACATCTACAAAAATTGGGCCACATTATGCCTTACCACCCTAAAGAGGTAACTGTAAGTTTAATGTTCAGAAAGCCACATAAAATTTTCAGAGGAAAGGCAATGTGCCATTGATTTAAAAGATATCCAGAACAAAATGTAGAACTGACTGATGAATCTTAGTTGTTCACAGATCACCAATTGTTTAAAATTAAGTTTCAACATTTTGCCAGTTTTCTTTCATTTCTAGCATCAAAATTATTTTATTATTTCTACTTACTACAAAGTATTTCCTGTGCACTCCACAGATAAGCAGATCTGTTTTATATACACAAATGCATTAGCATTAAAGAATGGACTGAGACTACTTCCTAATTTCACACAGGGGAAAAAAAACCCAACAACCAACACACAAAATAACACACGTAGTAGCAGCAAGTTTCCTTCATTAACAAAGGAAAACTTATCTGTATCAACAACTTGAGAGGAGATATTAAAAATGTCAGGAGCCTATATTATATGAACCAACATTACTACTGATGCAGAGTACTTTGTCGACAAATATGGCAATCCTTATTTTACAAAAATCTGGACCTCAGATAATTTTAAGGATCAAATTTAATGCATGTATAGCTAGGATTTACAAGTGCGTCATTTTGTAATTGCTCTTTGAAGATGAGTCTTACTCATCTTAAGTTGCCAAGTTTCGCCTATTTCACATCTTATGAACTCAGTTTGGCTGAAAAAAGAAAGAATGAAGTAATGTTCTGTGCACTCAAAAGGATTAAAATTTGGTATGACTAAAGTGAACAGCAGCTAACAATCTTCTAAAGCATTTCCCACTGAAAAGTTCATCTGACGTTACAAAAATGAACTTGTATGCAAAATCCATTGCTATGAGGCCCATACAGAATTACTGTAAAATTGGGGTTCTTCAACATATAACAGCATAGTTGCCTGCAACTTTTCAAAAAATCTGACATGCATAAAATAATTTGAGTGCTTTGAATAAATGAGTTTGATATATCACTAAAGACAAGTAGTAACACAGCCCCAGAAGTGATCAACGTCAGTAAAAGATAAATGTACAAAGAAGTCATGTGTTATTTGATCTCTGCTCCTCTCATAATTTCCAAGTTTCACAATTCTCATAGCATCAGTGACCAAGACATTAAAACCGTCATCATGTGTGCAGAAAATCCTCTGTTCTCCAAACTAAGAGATTCTGCTTTGACGTACAATTCTTTATACACGCCAACCAGGCTTGAACCAAGAGGCACTTCAAACTGACTGTAAGGTTACACAATTCACATCAGTTCCTGGAAGTAAGAAATCCATCAAGATTTCTTGATGGAATCCCTTAGGTCAGAACAAGAGAAAAAGGGCTGGGAACTCATTTTGAAATCTATATCCAGCACATCCTCTGAACTACTTTATTTTTTACATATAAAATATGGTATTACCATAAAGAAGTCATGGTCAGGATGAGAGCTGTTCACTGAGCATAGTATAAAACAGGGCTAACAACTCTCAAGGACTGAGTGGTCTAGAAAAGAGCAGAAGGATTACTAATGCTCCGCTCAATGGTAGACTATTGGCAAATGACAGCTGCTTGGAAACTGGAGCATATCTCCGTGAGAAGGCAAGAAAAAAGACAGCTAAGCCAAGTGGTAGAACCTCAACAATCCTCTTGCCACTCAGAGAATTGCTGCTGGTCAGCAGACACATCACAGCTCAAGCCACAACTATGCAATTGCTAAGTAAGCATGTACTTCCAATTTTTAAGGAAAAGGCAAGAAGCTTAAAAACAAAAAAAATCCACAGAAGAAATAACAACAGCAACAACAACAACAACAAACACTCCAAAAAAACACAACAGCTGATTTCTTCAACACAGGAAACTTTCACTCCCCAAAATTCTGCATCATTTAAAGGTTTTTAATACTCCAGGTAAGCAGCTTCTTTTACTTTGGGAGAATCTCAAGTGATGTTTTTCAGCACTCCAAAGAAAGATAGGGGGAACAAAAACGGAAAGAGTAGGAGATCAGAAACTACTTTTTGACAGTTAAGTTGCCAAAAATCAAAGCAGGAAAATGTGAATGATTAATGCTTAAGAGGAAATGCTACATGTAATATTGACAACAACTTCTTACAGCACATTTTTAGCTGCTGAACAAGTTTTCAAAAATACTCAGGAAAACTGATTATTTATGTCAATAAAAGAGCTATTCTTTTTAGAATTTATAGTCACTGTACTGACTACGAAAACCCATTAACATTACAAGTCTCCTGAGTGTCTTTAGCTTCACAAATCTAACTTTGTACTACGTTTTAGCCACGTTCCATGCAATTTTTTAAAAAGTACTTCTGGTTAAAGTAATCTTAAATCTCCTTCTACTACCTCAAAGAAAAAAAATTATTTATATATACTCCAGAAGAACTTACACAAAATAACTTTCATCATATCCAAAGAGAAAGCATTTTTGCATATAATAATTTTTTAATCTCATGTTTTAGAGTGGAAATGTCTTTGAAATAGAAAGCAATTAGTGTTTTCACTACAGAAGACAACATGTACCAAGTACTGTACTTCTATTTTCCTCTGCTGAGATCCACTACATAGCTCAATAGTGAGCAGTATGCAAAAAATCATAATTAAGTTTATTACAAAGTGTGTAATGCTACAAGTGTTTAGCAGTCTGATCACAGGATTTTACATTCAAGGTTATTTACTATTCCTGTGCTCTTTTGTGCAATCAGAATTCTGACATGCTAATGCATATTTATATAATAAATCAGTAGGGCTTCATTCAATTGCAAATACATTCCCATACCATCAACTGAACCAACTATCTTTATGAAGTTCCTTCATAGTGTTATTGCAGTTGTGTAACAGTTACATATTCTGAAATATATAATAAAGACTCAGATGGGACTATCACCTACCATGCAACACATTTTTAAAGCATTCAACAAAACGCGCTAACATTTTATTGTCACATTTTAAATGGAAGAAATCAGGATGCATTTAAGAATCTTTCTGACCACTGGGTGCCACTCTTGTTCTGTGTAAAATAAACTGCCTGGCACTAACTCAGTCGTCTTAGTCTTTTTTTTTCCCCAGCTTTAAACAACTCTGTTTCTTCTAAAGTGGGAGGAAAAGATGCAGTAATTTTTACACAAGTCTCTATAAAACACTTACTACTTTTTAAAACCCTTTACTGTTGCTTTTAGTCCCAAGAATGCAATTTTGAGAGAAGTCTAATGCACACAGACCCTTACGGTATATGAAGGTTTTTTTTGGTTGGTTGGTTGGTTTTTTTATAGTGAAGTCATGTAATAACTTAGTTATGCTATGTCTAAATCGTCACATTCGAAGGAATAGATCTCTACTGCAGCTGTGTAGCCCGGTACTGCCATTGCTACTAACAGCTTCATATTGAGTTTGCAAGGCCTCAAGACTGAGGCTTTGAGCAAGCTTGCTCTGTCTGAGCTTTTCCTGACCTGTCTGAAGTCTTTTTTTTTTCACTTGGTGCAGGTTTAACAGCAATTTTTCTAACTGACCAGGTGTCTATCGCTAACTTGGTTTATTTTTGTTGATCTTTGTAAGGTACAACCATAGTTTTATATAGATAGCAGTAACAAGGAGTTATTCTATGTAGAATGAGATACTTAGGACTGACACCATGATGCAATATAGAAATACTGGCCTGGTATAATAACAGACACCTCAAGAAGTAGAACACAGGACGTGGCATATAAAAGTACAACCATGAGATGACATTCTTAGATTAGACTGTTAATATTAGAGTTATACTAACAATTAATTCTTGGCTGAATATTTAAGGTGAGTTTCATCCTTGTCCATAGATTTTGAGTGTAACACTATCCTGTGCACTTTATTTATCATATTGAATAATCCCATATCAAACATCATTGCAGGCATATGTATGTTACAGCCCTAGTGTTTAATACTATTCCTTACATTTCATAGATGGGAGCCTGAGGTACAGACTAAGACGTGCTCACAGAAACTGATATAATGTATGATGGAAATACCTACTTATCAGTCCAGCTGAGAAAACAGGGAGGTCAGAACAAGGCTATGGCGAACTTCATAATCCCATTATCCACCCCACCAACCTTTAACATGGCGCAGGTATCTTTCCACTGTATTGTGGCCCCAAGGTACTGCAGTCACAGAAGCAAGTATTAGACCAAAGAATTCTCTGAAGTCATGTAAAAAGTGTGACTATCAGGGAGTTGCACTAAATTACTTACAGTCGCAGGCTAACTTCCTAAAGATGCTATCATTATGCCTCCTATCCTTACTAAACAAATACTACGATACAGACTTTCATGTCATACCATTTATTTAATTTGTATTTCAAACAAACAATGCAACTAGAAACCACTTTTCCACTACCATCTTCTACTTCAACGGATGTCCTTTCCCACATCCCTGCCATTTCACTGCTCTGCTCTACAACCTGTTTTGATAACAAAGAAAAATGCCCTAAATAGTCCCAGCCTATGCATTGTATTACTGTAAAGTCTTACAGAATACCTGTAATCAGGCTGCCGACTTATAGGATGATCATCCCTTGGCCATCTGTATCCTGATTCATCCTGCAAAACATAAGTGCAAAACAATTGTGTGACATGTATCTCAACATCAGATCTCAGGTACAGTTAGTTCCCAAACAGTACTTATTTACTGTAAAACCAAAGCATTTAATAAGCTAAAAGAAATTAATAATCATTCACAGCAAGGTTCCTCTCAGTTTATTCACTCTACCCCATTCCTCTTATTTTCTTCCTCTACCAATACTAAAGAGAGCAACTTTGAAATGCTGTACAGAACACAAAAACTACAAAAATTTCCAAACTATATACATAGGCCCTGACTTAAAAAAAAAAAAGAAACTTTTCCTCATTGAAATGTAAATTATCATCAACAGATTGAAATTACTTGGAGGCGGCAAGAGTAAGGCCCTTTCAAAGGGACCATAAATTTTGTACTTAAGCGTAGCTACTGGGGAAAAACCAAATATGCATTCAGCATCATGATAGAATTTAAAGAAGTGAACAACTGTGCAAATTAGAAGGATAGATAGACAACATTCAACTTGTTAAATAGAAAGATTTTGCAATCATTCTGCTATTCATACAGATAACTCTGCAATGCATTACAGAGAGGACTTCTGGCCACTTTTGTTTTCCCAGTTCAGACTGAGCTTTCCACAGTGCTGGACAAGGGATCTTTTCTAAGTCAACAGGGTAGCTAGGAACCATAAGCAGCAGCAAACAGGTATTACCATATAATCAAAGTGTCTTAGAAGCACAATAACTGAAAAAAACCACCAAGTATCAAAGCCCGGATGTTTTTTCCATTAATTCTATTTCAGTTTATGAGAACTGCAGTAACATCAATGCTCTGTCTGAATGTTTTATTTGTTGAGTATCCAAGCATTAATGAGAAGATAAACATAATAAACACGTGAGAAGAATCACCTTACGTACACCTCGGTGTGGAGGGCCACTTCTTCGGTCGTGGGCAAAACTGCGACCCTCTTCATAATCTCTGTACTCAGTGTGACTGTAATCATCATACCGACTGTAATTCCCATCCCCAGGTCTTTCAAGCAGTGGTGGCTTCTTGGGCACAATGTTTACTACCCTATGGTAATCATCCTAAATGACAAAACAAACAAAATCATATTGCTTTTAAAGGCTGGAAATCCGTAGTGAATACACAAAAGTAAAAACCAACAAGTTATTTCTAAATATGGGACTATAATAGTCTTAAAGCTGAAATAGCACAGGCGAACAACAAACATTAAAAATCATGCCAGTCTGATGGTGGAATAACTTACTAAACCTTAACTGGACACTATTCAGATGCAATCCTTAGGCATTACAAGTTTAATCATAGAGGGAAAATTTTCAATGTGGTTTAAGTTTCTTTTGAAAGTTTAAAGCAGTACTAGCTACTCTCTAAGCATCAGCTACTCTCTAAGCATCAGCTACTTTCTTTTTTTCAGCATTAGCTACATATATATTTCTCACAGACTTTTACATTAACTTAGGAATGCAACAAAGTTACACCTGTAATGCCTGTAAAACAAAGAGCCTATCTGAAAATACTATCAATTTTCTTCACATCAATAACATCCTCCACACTATGGAGATTCTAGAAGACAGTCTTTGCTTCATAAACACCTTCTCAATACAATGCAGTAGGTGATCTGAGGATTCAAGTGACAGAGAGAATTTTAACACTCGTTTTTTCTTTTAACGCAAGTTTTCGATAGCTTTTTTCTAGAATGCAAAATTAATTTATTGTATTCCCTTCAAATAAAATGTCATACACCATTTACCAATTAAAGAAATCCTTTGTTTATTAAGCGCAAATTGCACAGTTGCAAAGATATATTCAATTTTCTAGAACCAAGTATCATATTAACCAACTGCAAATAAAAAGCAAACAAAAACATGAACGCAAGACCTTGTATTTTAAGTCGTCTTCCTTTAGCAAGACATTTTTTCTATGGGCCTTAAAAACACAAGCTATAAATGCAGACACTTGAGTTAGCATGTGCAGTTTGGGAGGGCGGGGGGGGAAGGAAAAACTAGTTTTTTAATAGTAGTAGAAGTCACAATCTAATGCAACAATAGTTTTTGTAGAAAAATACATTAAATTCACAAACTGCTAAATATTGTCATGCAAAAAAAAGTTAGTTCCAATTTCAGAGACCACCCAACAAATTCACTAGAGGGCAATCCAAAGCCAGCCTACAGCCATGCTGATGCAAAGTAGAGACTACATACAAATTCATACACAACCACAATGCTTGATCTACCCTTATGTCATTGAACATCCTCCACATGTAATTTTTCTTAGTTTGGTGTCTTACAAAGATGTGCTCTGAAGCTGAAATAAAACTGCTCTGTGCTTTAACCTCACCCAGAAGTCCCCATCACATAACCACACTGACATACAGAAGGATAGTTACATGAAAGCTCAAGGTGTAACCAGTTATGGTTAATTGTGCCAAGTGCTTGCAACTTTATGTTGTTTACCAGGATCCAAAAGCACATGTTTCTACTACAAACTATACTTGATATAAACACCCAGTTTAGATTAGGACAAGTTTCCCGCTCTCTCAAACATGAGAAACTTCATTCTGTGTCATTGCCATGTCTCAGCTGCAATGTACTAACCTATCAGCAAATGCTAAGCGCGCTCATAGATTGAATAAATTAATTCCATTTTACTTGTCTTGTCAAAATTAAGTCAGACCTCTACACATGGACACAAGATACAACGGCACAGCTTACAAGGACAGAAACTGCCTGCCAACTATCTTGAATCAGCAGAGCTGTATGAGAAGGAGCTTCATATCCATCTCTCAGTAAAGCAGACAGACACCAGGTCGTGGTTTGCCCAACTACTGGGGGTGTTGTTTTGGTGCAGATGGAAAAGTATTGATTGTGATAAATGAGAGTATTCTGCTAGTCCCTTCATCCCCAGTTCCAAACACATGTGATATAAAGCTAGGATTGAACTATCTTGTTAAATCTTGCATCAAAATGAGTGCATCACATCTTTTAAATTTTCTAAGTAAATTTTTGTAATGCATATACCATGCATTGTTCCCTGGACAGCTTGAAAGACTAAAGGAATTTAGGAATGTCATTGTTGCAATGGTTAAATTAAATTAGCAATGTGTTAGTCAAGTCAAACATTGATTAAAAAAAAAAAATCTGTGAAAACACATTCTGCCTTTCCTCGTGTCCTATTGCTGATAAATATTTTGGAGAAGCAGCTGACTAAATACCCTGTGCAAACTTATCTGATTTCCAGTTTGCTGAAAATGCAGAAATTTTGTTGTTGCCTGTAAAGAGAGTTAAAAATGTCACAGAGCAGCCAAACACTAACACACTACTCAACAGAGAAGACTCTGTAGCTAGTTACCAAGTTACCAACACTGGTAGGCTTCCAAAACAACAAGCTGAAAATATGGTAGACAGAACCCAGAAAGTATGCTAAATCAGCTAAGCTGTTCTATTATTCCAACATTTAAAAGAATTAGAAGAAAAGCCAGATAACAGGCACAGGTACCTGAAATTTTATTTTGTCAAACGTACATTGCACAGTCTGTAAACAGAAATACCAAAAAGTATTCTTAAAGTTCTATTTAAGGTGTAATAGCTCAAAAGACAAAGCTACAACCTGTCTTCTTTCTTCTTTAGAGACTTCAGACACAGGAGAAAAAAAAAAGAAGAAATAATTTTACCCAAGCCTTCGGCACAGAGGTTTTCTAAAAGCATTCTGAAGTTATTTTACAGCAGAGTAAGTATCGCTTCTGCATTTGCTTTTACAAGCATAACATAAAGTAGAAGTCTCCAATGCCTACAAAGCAGATTTCCATTTACACTTTTCTTGATAAGCATTTCCCTTACAAGGCTCCAAAACACAATTTCTTTAGCAAAGATGTATTTTCAACATTTGTTATAAAAATTTCCTTCTATACTTTAAGCATCTTCATAAAAAACTGCATCGGTGACAAGAACAATACTGAAAGTAGTCATTTTAACACCTCAAATCACTTCAAAGATGTATAAACATAAAAAAAAAAGTCTGGGGAAAAATATAACATAGTATGGCCTCCGGTTCTCCAGAAGTTATTAAAAATCCTGTGCTTAATTACACAAAGAATTACACAAAAAAAAAATCAATTTATCAAAACACAAATATTCTAAAACACTTTCAATAGATTTGAAAAAAAATACAAGATTTAATTTTGTAGGCATCCTGTTATCTCTGTGCAGATGCATTGCTAGATTGTTGGTTTAAATGAATGAGAAAAAAACAGAACTTGGGGTGTACTAGGAACTCAAATATGTATATAAATCCAGCCCTTATGGTACAAGTCATGATACAAAGGTATAGTAAAACAGTATAATGCTAAAGAAACATACTATACACTTACATCAGGATGAATCCTTGGAGGGAGACGTTCTCTTGGAACTCTTTCATAGTCATATCGCCCTTCAGACCACATTTCATCTCTTCGATATGCCACTAAAGACAATAAAAACCCCAATTAGCCAAAACCAGACTCATTATGAATAGACAAAAGGATAGTGACCATAGAAATGAAGGTTCCCAGACTTCTCCCAATATAATGTATTATGCACAAGCCCGGTACATTTTTTTTTAATTAGCCCTTTTAAAAGTACGCCTATCTAGTTACAGATTAATGAATTTTAAGCAAAAAAATAACTCACAGTATGTGCAAGAACAACTGAACAACTGGAAGTTAGCGCAGTATAATCAGTATAATTACAGGACTTACAGATACTATAAACAGCTCTATTGAAATATATGCATATTGCAAATACCAGCTGTACATACCAATTCATACACACATACCTTATAGCAATTTTGATATTGCTCTGCTAAAAATAGAGGACTTTTTTTAAAAAAGCATTTAACTCCTATTTATTAGATTGAAAAATTTCTACTTTTTTATATAATATAATAACTTTGAATTATTTCATCATCTCAACTATCCAGAAAGAGGTTAAAACACAAACACATCATTCAGTTAGTACAAAGCTCTGCGTTCTGAATACATGAATGAAATGCATTCTTCAAATGCAGATTTTTCCTCTTTTAAATTGGGAGCCAGCAGAACACAAAAATTCCTCTTTCCAGAAAAAGGTGACTGTCAAAGTCAAAATTAGTAACTAAATACAGGTGGAAATAAACCATCACCGTAAGAGATTCTAGTCATGCTATGTTAGACAACACAAACTTGAGGAGCTGAAACCTTTCTGATTATTATAAAGGTGACAAATTATATACTATACATTGCTGAAAATAGATAAGAAATTGCTGGAATTATATTTTTCAAATTTTCCCTTCACAATGGTAGTTCTAGCTATTAAAAATAATCAGAAAAAGAAACAGCAGGACATATTCAGAAGGAGAAATACATAACATTATCTGCATTCACAAAATAAAAACACTTAACTGGAAACAGACTTATGAGGCTATATAAAAATACGGATTATTACAGATGTTAACAACCAACATGACAAAAGAGTTTATTAACTGTAAACAGAGGTAGCACTAAGTCAGATATATATTTTTGTGGGAAAAAAAACCCAACCCACACACATACTTACTTTTCTGTCAGTTTTAGCAACTCTTCTTCTGTAGACCCATTCAATTACCTACAAAAAAACCCCTGAAGTTAGCAAAAATGCATATATATTCCTAAGTACATTTTTTCTTTTAAGTAAACCAGACATTTAAAACATAAATCTTTCGACCACCTGTCCCCTGTGATCTGTCTGAATTAGTACAGAGTAATTCACTACACTCAATTAAGAAAGAATATGAACTACTCAGCTGAATTCACAATATCAAAAAACTTCCCGTGGCAAATTATTACAGATACATCACTTTCCTAATAAATTCCAGAGTTTTCTTTCCCCTTTATCATCTTTTACTCCCTATCCCAAGTCTCAGTTTTTCTTCCATTCATTGGCAAAAGCTTTTGGAAACTACTGTAACTGTTTTCTTAAAAACACTCAGAAAAATATTTAATATATTCACTTAATTTATATTTATTTAAGTGTCTTTCAATATCATTAAGTAGAAAAAATAAGACTTGGTTACATGTGATGAGAGGTTAATGAAAAGTTTTGATTTAACAAATGCTTTTCCTTTGGTAACAGATAGTAAATCCTGATGAAGTAGCTCCTTCCTCAACTGTAACAAGCCTTCACGTTCAGAGATTTTGACGCTACCATTGGTACAAACGAGCGAGAGTATCTTCTTAAAAGTTTGTTCCATTTTATAACAGACTTGGCCTTAAGTACATTCCATAACCAAGACACAGGACTAGTCTTACGTAGTCACAGATCATAAATCAAAAGCTGATGAAACCAACAGAATTTGGTTGGTCTTGGTTTGGTAAGGTAAGAGCTGGTGGGTCTGCTGTCCCTGCCCTCACCAGCATACTCCACGTAACAGTTACTAATTCTGAAACCATTGCTCGTATTGCTGTATTTGTTGGTCAGGAGTATCCATCAGAAGCACCTTCCCGGCACTTTCACAGCAACTGCCTCAACTCTTCTTCATTCTCTACTTCAGGGACTTTTCCTAAAGTCTTACAACTTCATACCAGGGGCTACATCTGCATTAACTGTTCTTAAGCCAACCCTGTGCCCTCTGCTTCCCACATCACCAGGAGGGTGCTCTATCTTCTCTTACACTACCCCCACAATCCTCTTTAATTTGTACCTAGAACAGTACCTGAATACTCCTGGTTTTACACGTACCAGGAGGGACAGAATTAGCTGAGGCAAGACAAAATCATTACACTGGAACAGTGTCACGTGCTCTTTCTCAAAACACTTTGCTGCTGGTCCCTCATGCCCAGCCCTTGCCCCAAGGTGGACCATTCCTTCTGTCCATACTCACTCACAGCTGGAGAGCACCTGAGGCTCCTGCGCTGCCTGCTCCCACCCCTGCTCGTCCCCAGAGACTTTGGTTCCTGACGGCGAGCCTCACTCAGTTTCTAGACCAACAGCAAAATATCAGAAGCGGGATTCAGAGAAGGTTTTCAAGCGGGTTTTTTTGCATTTTGACAAATACAGTAGTGTCCACATCCTGCTGCCTACAGCAGTTACCAAAACTGTTAACCGAACACAACGTTCAAAAAGCAAGGCATTTCAGGTAAGTGCCACTGAAGCTAGGTAGAAGCTTTCACATCATGCTGCTCTGTCAGTCGAGCCACCTCCAACATCCCGACACACATCACTGGCAGCAGGCACGGACATTCACATACACACTCTGATATGTTATCAGACAGCAAGGCTGATAAAAACACTCCCATTTTTATTGCTGTTGAGGGACCTCACTGAAACTAGCAAGAATTATCACCCGTATTTTGACAAAACAAAACCACAAGCTGGACAAAAAGGTAGAGATATACTATCACAAAAGCCAACAGACTGAAGAAAAAAAAAACCACAACTACATCAGACAAGAAGTATCGAGGTGGAAGAAAAATCTCAGAAGTGAGACTATTTTGCATTTAGAGGAATGAAATGAAGAAAATTAATCAGATAGAATGAACCATCAAGCACATTGCTCAAAATGCTTGTAAGGAAAAAAGTAGGAGACCAATTTTTTATAGAAGACTAAACAGATAAATTTTAGCTGGAACCAATGAGAAAAAGTAAGGATGCATTTGAAAATACCAGAAGAAAAAAAGATGTCTAAAGGGAGGAAAATGCATTTCCCAGCATCTTGAGCACATTTTGTCTGTTTCTACAGGAAAAATTCTTTAATATCATGACATATATATAATCATCTACTATATTAATTTAAACAAGCTCTTCCTATTTTTGGCCAGAGGTGACTGTTTTCCCTAAAGCAAGGTCTTTATTTTCTCAAATAAAGACACTCCAGTGTACGCAGAAGCCATTCTATTAACGCAGCGCAAGCTGCTCCCCTGTGGCCAGGTGCCAAGAATGGCTTTGCTCCGATTATCACAACACTATGTCTTGCTCTATGCTACTATAACTGATGTAACACAAAAAGGGTTTCTTCATCAAGCAGATTACATGGGTCACTTAAACTTTAATTTCTTTATCAGTCATTAACTTTTTATTCTTTTTTGCTTTCTAAGTAATATATGCTAAAAAAAAAAAAGGCTGACACATTTGCAAAAGCACTCCACTACTCTGCAATGTTTTGCACACAATTCTTGTCTGTTTACACTTATTTGTGACATCAATTTTCATCATGGCTATAAGTATCTACTTCTCCAGGATCCGTAATTCTCCAATGTGTGCTATCAACCTTCTGCAGAATCTACATTTTTGTTTCAAAAACATACAGCTTTCTAACCCAGATGGCTACATCTTGCCATATGTGAACAAAGCATAAAACCAATGCTGTGCTGTAAATGCAGAAGCAGGCAGCTGCAGTATCTCTGATGCTACCGGGAGATATCTGGTTTTATACTGTTACTTTGACAAACAGCAGAGACTGACATATGTAGGCCAGTTCTACCCCTCCTCTGCTTTGGAAAGCTCTCAAAAAAAAAAAAGCTTAGACGCTTTTGTATGAGTAAGACCTAGGAAAGATGCTTAGAGAACTGTAACTTATTAGAAATCATGGCCAATTTTGCAACAATTGCTGCTTTGAGGACATAAAGATAGAAAACACTGGAAAAAGCCAGAAATGCATAAGCTGAATAAAATTATTAATAGCAGCAGCATTCTGATGAGGATTTACAATCCTACCGATTCAGTTTTCTTACCACATCATTCTAATATATCACTAGGAGCAAGAGAAATGGAGGCAATGCGTTGGGGATTATATTAATACACTGACTGATGTGTTAGCGCTTATCTTTGCCTGAACACCTGCAGTTACCAACATCACGTCCTACATCAGTGTCAATGCTACAGAAAGAACGTTCTGCCAGGCTGCGATGGGGCTGCTAGACTAGCAACGTCAATGCAAACAACTGTACGGATCACTGCCTCCACCTTGACTTTCTGTCTTGCAGCACAAACATTTTGACAACAAAATATGTCAGCTCACCACACTGTTGCCATAACAGGTCAAAACTTCAATGCTTTCAACATTTACACTGGAAAGTACCAACCAACTTAGAGTATTTCACTCAGGGAAAATCAATGTTTCAAACCCTGCTCATTGCTTGCACAGATTCTGTGGATTTCTGCATCTTGTTGTGTATTTCTGACAGAGTCTTTGTTCCCTTGAAGTCCCAGACACCTCAGACAAAGAATTATTATAAGACTATTCGTGAAAACCTCTAATGCATGGTAAAAAGCCTACTTAAGGAGTATGAGTGACAACAAAGAACCATGGAGAGCAGACTTAAAGTGTTTAAATACTAATAAAGACTTTAAATATATTACAGAACACCCTATTGTCAGGCTAAGTGTAAAGATTTATTCTAGTACTTTTAAAGGAAATCAGCTAAATGACACGCTTATGCCTTATTTATCC